AGAAACTATCTGTTCTGTAAGCCTTCACCTGAAGTACAATAAAATATTTAAAAAAAAAAAAAAAAGACCTTTTTAGCGTATTGAAAAGCAAAGATGTCACCTTGAAGGCTAAGGTGCGCTTGAACCAAGCCATGGTATTTTCAGTGGCATCATATGCATGGAAAAGCTGAGCAATGAATTAGGAAGACTGAACAATGAATAAGCCAAAGATTCGACAGGCCCATAAAACAAAATGAGACTAAATTGGCACATCAGCCCAGGGGCAAGGATGAGAAGGCAGGAGAGGACAGGAGAGCTGGTAGTAGGGAACCCAAGGTCAAGAAGGGGAGAGTGTTGACATGTTGTGGGCTTGGAAATTGTCACAATTAACAATATGTGTATTAACTGCTTAATGAGAAACTAGTTTGCTCTGTAAACCTTCATCTAAAATACAAAAAAAAATTTTTTTAATGTAGGTGAGGTTTTCCTTTTAATATATGTGGCCAGAGCATATTTGTAGTTTAGTCACACTTCTTTCTCCTACATTTCACCCTCCTCTCAATTATCCTATCCAAGAATATTCAGGAAACTTATTGATTGCCTAGAAATATCTCAATTTGCATGAGATTCTTAAGTTCCATTGGGAAAAAAAAATTATTCTTACCCACAGTTGGGTTCAGATATGCTCATCTAATGGAGTGATTCAAAAGGAGGGGTATGGAACAAAGGAAGCCAGGCTGAAAGCAGATTTGATGGCAATACTAAGAGAAAAAAATCCCCAGGACTGAAAAAGATTTCTGGGCCTGAGAGTTAGGAGAAGAGTGGTTCCCAGTACTGTTGCAGGCTGTTGTTGATCGCACCTCTACTCAATCTCTAAGAGTGCTTGTGTGGTAAAATGAAAACACTGCATTGCTACAGGATCATATAATGCTATAGGAATGACAGAAAAAACAGGAAAAGGCTGTTCCCTGTCAGATGAAGCGACAGGAAAACATCACTAGAGCAACAGTGACTTAGAACAGGAAGGCAGTGACTAAGAATTTTTCCCGTTCCAGTTATAGTTCTGGATCACCCAAATTTTAAAACTTCAGGTCTGTTCCAGTTTCTCTTCATTGGCCATGACTGAATTGGTTTGAAGTATTTCAAAGCCCTGCCACAATCTTATTGAAAAAAAAAAAAAAAAAACACTCTTTTATACATAGTTTTAGCACATATCACTTCTGGGCATACATAAAAACATACCTTGGGGATGTAATTGGCATAAAGTACTTATTAAGGGTCAGGTACTTAATAGTGATTTGTATAAGATGATTTATATGGAGTAGGGCTTGAAAGTCATTAAAATTTAGAGGATTTTTGTTTGTTTGTTTTTAGCTTTATGAAGTCATTCTCTATTGCCTAACCTCTCAAATTGAGATCTGAGGGTCTGAAGATTCAATTAGAATCCCCAAACCAGAAGACTTCTTTGCTCCAATAAAGCACCAGGAACTTGTCAAGGATGCTCAGTTTCCCTTCTCAACAGATAGGCTAAAATTTTCTTGCCCTCTTCTGTGGAATGCTTAGAGAAGTATCTGATAGTTTAATACCATATGCAGAGAAAGTATCTAGCCATCTTCTATAATCCTCAGTGTTACAGTAATCCTTTCTACTCCTCAAAATACTTTAGAAAATTTTGCTTGGGTTTTAGTCAACAAAGTGCCAATCAACAAAGACAGATGTATGATATACAAATGCCAGTACATGGAAGAAAATATTAGACTTTTAAGAAGAAAAATTCATTATTTGGAATACTTGACAATTCCTGACACAACAAAACTCAACAATATAGTCTAAAATTTTAAACCGGATTGCCTATCCCTTGCTACCCTTCAATTCTTGCTCATTGATGCAATGTTCACAGGCAATTTCTCTTTCCTTACACTGTTTCATCAGATACTGAAAATGCTTTTTCCTTCTGATTTCTTCTTAATTATAATACTTCCTCTCTTTATGGATCCCCCCCCAAACTTTAGACTAAAAAACTAAGTGTTCCCCTTTTTTGGATAACATTAGTTATGCCTCCTGATTTCTCTAGTTACATATGTCTTAATTCCACAAAATATCACCTCAAAATAAAAAACGCAGATACCCTTAAGCTCACCACCTTAAATTTCTCCTACAGCAACGCTGTCACAAATGTATATGTCCTGTAGCACTATTTCCAACTTAAAAAAAAATAGAAATGACTAAATGGCCATCTTTGAGAGAATGATTTAATAAATTACAGCACATTTACCTTATAGAATACTATGAAGTCATTAAAAAGAAGATAGATCTGTATATACTGAAGTGAAAGCATATATATGGAGAAAAAAACAAAATGTAGAAGAATGTGTTGTGCGTTCCACTGAAAAATAACTTTAAGGTGTGTGTATACCTAGAAGTATATCTGAAAAATATACACTGAACTGTTATAAATAGGGAGATACCCATAAGTAGGGGTATAGAATGGACTGGGGCCATTCAAATTATCTAGCTCTGTGTTTACTTATTTTACAGCAAATATTTATGAACACTGAATTTAAAATAATATTTCTTTAACCTGTATAACTTTAACAAACACATATTCATCAGGTTAAACCTAAAGTCAATCAGTCTCTTCCGAGAAAACTATTCTCTTTCATATCACCATGTTTTCTTTAGCACACAATCTGTAATTATCTCATTTATTAAATATTATTATCATCTATCTCTCTCCTGTAGAATGTAATACAGGGAGGGATCACTTCTGTCTTGTGTAGTATTACACATGTAAAAGGCCCTCAAGAATTATTTGTGTCCAGACACACTGAAAGGGTATAATAAATTTCAACATGTCAAGGAGTGAAATGTACAAGCAGCTCTCCTCTTCCTGTTAAAGTTAATCAGGCAGTGGCTCTTTACCCTTAGGAGTGGCACAAGTCAGCCAGAAGGGATTGATAAATACTTACTGAATGAATGACTGAATAAAGACAGGCATTCTCTCATAATACAGGGATCATGAAAATGATACACACAACATTATAAAAAGGAATTGGACCCTTATCCATTGCTGGTGGGAAAGCAGAATGGTATAGCTACTGTGGAAAACAGTTTGGCAGTTCCTCAAAAAGTGAAGCATAGAATTACCATATCACCAGTAATCCCAATTCTAGGTATACATCCAAAAGAAGTGACTAATGATTCTCCCACCCCTACTCACTGTGGATTACAAACTATACCTCTATAACTCATGGTGTCACCATCACTAGTAAAATGAAACTAGACCCAGTTTTGGATCACAAGTACAGAACAAAATTATAACACAGTCTTAAATAAATAAAATAAAGCTAACAAAAAGGAATTCTTACCTTGATGTTATTTTCTTTTTGAAAAAATAAACAGACAAGTAAAAGTCCCGTACTGCTGCAACATGTTCTCCCCAGTATTTCAAAGAGGAGATACTGCAATACTCACAAAACTAGAGTCAATACAATGAAGAGTACAGGCAGAAACCTGTACACCGATTGTTCATTGCAGCACTTTTCACAATAGCCAAAAGGTAAAAACATACAAAATGTCCATCAAAAAATGAATGGATAAACCAAATGTGGTATATACATACAATGGAATACTACTCAGCCATAAAGAGAAAGAAAGTCCTGATGTATGCCATAACATGAATGAACCTTGAACGCATGCTGAGTAAAATAAGTTAGTCGCAAAAGGAAGAATATTGTATGATCTCACTTATATGAAATAAGCAAATATATAGACACTAAAGATTATTAGTCGTTACCAAGGGTGGAAAGGAGGGGAGGGAGGAGGAGTTTTTGCTTAAGGGGAATTGAGGTTACGTTAACGGTGGTGGAATGATTTGGTTGCACAACTTAAAGAATGTAATCAATGTTACTGAATTATACATGTAGAAATTGTTCACATGGCATTATGGTTTGTTACGTATATTTTCACAATAAATTTAAAAAAAAAAAAAAAGGAATTGTAGATAGGCATAAAATAAGGATTCTCGGAGTTCAGGGTTCCCTAACCCACAGGCACGGCCAACTAAGAGCGGAGGGTAAAACCAAGGCAACATGTACAAAACAGCCCACAGCAAACTAGGGAGCAGTAAACCGGGTACTTCGTCAGATCTGCCCCAGTAGCAACACTGAAGGGAACGGGAAAAGAATGCGATGCACTAGACTTCAGAGTTGGAGGTTTGAAAAGGTAAAAGCAAGGCCCTCAGAGCTGTAGAGACTCTGTGGGAACGTCTGTGATGCTCAGAGGAAGAGGACAAAGTGGCAGTTAAAGAGACGAGCATATAGCTGTGCAAGAAGTAGAAAACTACTTTTCCACCCGAGCAGTTACCTCGCAGGCACGAATCAGTTGGCACAGGACGATGGCATCATCTCCAAGCGACCCAATCGTAGTTCAAGAAAGGCACGGCCTACGGTGGGAGGAGAGGTCACGTGATTCATTATAGGCCACCTTTCCCTTGTAACAGAACAAACGATAGAGTCGGATTGACAAAGCCGGAGAGAAATGTATCTGTACTTAATAATCGTGTAGAGGTGTCTAATATATTCTCTCTCTGTGTTTTACTCTTTCCTTTTTAACATGTGTCCTAGTTTGACGTTGCCCAAACAAAAGATGGCGGCACGGGCGCTGGGTCCTACCATAGCGGCTCCGGCCTAGAGAAGCCCTATTGGAGTAAAGTGGCTCAGTATAGGAAGTTCGGGGCGGGGCCAGTGATCGGGAGATCTGCGTCTGCGCGAAGATGGTGGAGGAGGAGAGTCTCCGCGTGGTTCGTTGCGGCGGCAGTGAGTTGAACTTTAGGAGAGCAGTGTTCTCTGCGGATTCTAAGTATGGCACCTTGTCGAACGGGCTGAGAGGCGTAAATCTTCGAGAGGGTGGGGAGATAACTGTCAGAGGCGCGTCTGAAGTCGCCAGCCTACGGATCGGGACACTGGGGCAGGGGCGCGTTAGCGGGAGACCCCGGGGCCCGCGCGCAGGGTCCGGTGCCGGTGTACTGTAAGAGGAGTCTTTCGGCACCTCAGGCTTGGGCGCACCTCCCCGTCCCTGGACAGGTCTCCTGAAGGTAGATTGAGGTGTACATGGGCGGGCCCACGTGTTGTGGGCTTGGCGTTAGGGTGGCTGCAATATGGTCCAGGCACGGATGTGTATGCCACTGCGCTTGCAATACCATCAGAAGTATCCTTACTGTTTGGTATAGCATCGTGTGTTAGAATTATTGAACCTTTAAGGATTCCGCTTTTCCCATGCTTCACCCTGAAAAAAAATAAGGCACTTTGGCAACATTTTTGGAGATTTATGTGAAAACTGATGTAGACTCTGCGGGATAAAAAGTTAAATTAAACCCAACCACTGCCTGAGTTTGAAACCCAGTTCTTCCATTGTGTGACCTCGACAGGTTTCTTAGTCTCTGCCTCAGTTGTCTCGTCTGTAAAATGGGGATAATACTTAGTAACACATCTCACAGGGTTGTTGGGAGGATTAAATGCCTTAATACACATAAAGCTTGTAAAACAATGCTTGGCATTTAATGGGTCAATGTACATCAGCTACCATCATTATTATCTTATCATTATCTAGAAGTAACACATTGTAGTAAGAAAAGTTTTTCAAATAATGTAAGGATAGAGTGACACTAAGTAAAGCACTGTCTTAGAAGAGTGGAAATATTAGAAGAGTGGGAATAGTATCTTAGGAAAGTTTATGTCCCCCACAGTATCTTGCACGTGGGTGTATGGCAGATGTTGAATACACGTATGATTGAAGGCGCTTTCATGAATTTTCTTTAAAATATTAAAAAGAAAAATTCAAATTCTTAGTTTTAGAAAGTTAAAAATGGTTTTGTTGATACTCATGAATCAGAGAAGGAAACTGAAGCTCTGAGAGTTTGCCAAAATTCTACTGCTTTGGACTAATATCCAGGAATCCAGTTTCTTCTCCGCTGGACTGTTTTCTGCAAGTGTTCATTTCGAGGTCTGTTGTTTCATTTGCTAAACCCTACAATTCACTTTTAATATGTGTCATACTTAACGTGTAACAGGCTGAGATGACAAGAGCTAAGAGTTCAAATACTGTTTCAACCTTTAGGGATATGGATGGAAGGCATTCCAGGTAGGGGACAGCACAAGCAACAAGGGTGGAACCAAAAACCAAACCTGTTGCCTTCAAGTCGATTCCAACTCATTGGCATGTTTATATTGAACAGCCTGTGATGCAGTTAGCTAGTAAGAGTGGTGTATGAAGAGAATTAGTGGTAAATGAGTTGGAAAGAGAACTTGGAGCCAGTTCTTGGTTGTTTGACCCAAAGACAGTGTTGCTGTTTTTTGTTTGTTTTGTTTTGTTTTTATTCTCTAAGTAAAGGGGAGGGATGTAACATGACTGTTTTTTTCAGACATATTAATCTGAAAACCATATGTAAAACTATATGTGTTGGAAAGTAGAGAGATGGGTAGACTAGTATACTCAAGGTACAGCAGTGGCCTAGAAGGAAGGAGTCACATAATGAAAGTTTCCCATCAGTAGTAGGATCTTGCAAGACTGACAGGAATTTCCCCCACCAGTGACATTGCGGGGAGGGCATTCTAGCAAAGGGAAGAGCTTGATTTGGGGGTGGGGAGGCAATGCATGTATTATCAGTATAGTTGCAGCATAGGGAAATGGTGGAAGTAAAGACCAGGGGTTAGAAGGCTAGTGCAGGCATCCAAGCAAGAAGTAACTTTGGCCTGAACTAAGATAGTACTGAAGATGGAGGGAAGAGACAGGTTTTTGGAGTGATTTTGCAATTAGGATTAACAGGGAGAGGTGTTTAGGTCAGTTTGGGGCCTATTGAGTTTAAACCTCAAAAGCCAAACCTATTGACATCGAGTTGATTCCAACTCACAGCTACCCAGTAGTGACCCTGTAGGACAGCGTAGAACTGTTGCATAAGGTTTCCAAGAAGTGGCTGGTAGATTCAAACTGCCAACCTTTTGCTTAGCAGCCGATCTCTTAACCTAGCCATAGCTAGTGGTCAGGTCTGAATTCTGGGGAATTTAGGGACACAGATTTTTTGTTATGTATATGCCTGTTGCCGTTGAGTCAATTCCAACTCACATCGACCCTGTTAGACAGAGTAGAACTGCCCCATAGGGTTTCCAAGGCTGTGATCTTTACAGAAGCAGATTGTCAACATATTTCTCCTGTGGAGCAGCTGGTAGGTTTGAACCGCTGACCTTTTGGTTCACAGCCGAGCACTTAACCACTGCACCACGAGGGCTCCTTTATTATCTATATTAAAAAAAAAAAAAAAACTTGTTGCTGTCAAGTCATTTCTGACTCATAGCAGCTCTATAGAACAGAGTAGAACTGCCCCATACGGTTTCCAAGGAG